TTGAAGAGGGTGATTTTGAAAGAAGACAATTAAAACATGCAATGAAGGAAAGTCGTCAAATGGCTTGGATAGAGGAAGAGGGTCGTCGATCATCACAACCATTAAGCTCAGGAATCAAGCGCGGACCACCACGTAGCTATAGCACAAAAGAAGGTGCAAGCATGCCTGTAAGTGGCCTTGATTCGTACATGTTCCCGTCGAAACAAAAGTCAGTAAAAGACATGTTCTTAGGTGCAAACCTGAAAAAAGTGGGAAAAGCTATTTCAAAGTTCTTCCTCTTCAATGCCATACCATTCAATGCAGTTGATAGTGGGCCTTACTATCAGTCAATGATTGACACTATTGTGGATTCAAGCCCAGGAATAAAGGGTCCCACAAGATATCAAATTGGTAGTTCTTATTTGGAGGAGGAGGTTCAAGAGCTTGATGTGTATATATCTTCGATGAAGGTAAAATGGCCTCAGTATGGTTGCACAATCATGTCTGATGGGTGGAGTTCTAGAACAAAGAAATCCATTATCAATTTCATGATTTATTGTGACCGTAATATGATTTACCATACATCAATTGATACCACAAATATTTCAAAAACTGCTGACTATATTTTCTCTCTTATGGATAAAGTTGTTGATGAAATTGGAGAAGAAAATGTAGTACATGTAGTAACCGACAATGAGGCAAGCTTTAAAGCAGCTGGTAAGATGTTGATGGATAAAAGAAAACATTTATTTTGGTCTCCTTGTGCAGCTCATTGTATTGATTTGATGCTGGAAGATATTGGTCATATGAAAGCAATCAAGGAGACCATAGATGATGCTAAGACGATCACATCTTTTATATACAACAGTCTCAAAATTGTCAACTTAATGAAGCAACATACCAGGGATAGAGATTTATTGAGGCCAGGTATAACACGATTTGTCATTGAATTTATCGTCATTGAAAGTCTTATTCGTTATGAATCGGACTTGAAAAGAATGTGCACCACCGATGAATGGCGTGAGTTCAACAAAGACAAGAAGAGGAGAAAAACAAGANTTGAAAGTCTTATTCGTTATGAATCGGACTTGAAAAGAATGTGTACCACCGATGAATGGCGTGAGTTCAACAAAGACAAGACGAGGAGAAAAACAAGAGATATAGTCTCAAATCTTATTTTGACTGACCAATTTTGGAAGAAGGCTAGAGAAGTTCAATCTGTCATGGAGCCTCTTGTTAGGGCCTTAAAAATAGTTGATCAAGACAAAAAATTAACTTTATCAATTATCTATGAGACAATAGACAGGGCTAAACTAGCCATACAACATTCAGTCAAAAATTGGAAGAAATACTAGGCTGTGATTGACAAAAGATGGGAGATCCAATTGCACAGACACTTACATGTAGCAGGTAAAAGTATTTAAAAATATAAATTTTTCATTGTGTATTAGCTTGTAAAATATTATAGTTTTTCACTAACTTACATTAAATTGTCAAAAATTTTGCAGCTTATTTCTTAAATCCAGTTTTTCAGTATTCTAATCAATTTTCCAACCATCCTGAGGTAAGATCTGGTTTGAAAGAGGTTATTAAAAGATTGGAACCAGATTTGAATAAACAAGCAAGGGCAATGAATGAGGTATGACGATTTTTGATAATTTTTTATTATAATATGTGTATATATTTGTCGTTTACGTAATACATTACACAATAAATTGCAGATCAAATTATATACTGACAAACATGGCGAGTTTGAGAATGCACTCACTAGAAAAGCTGTACATGCCTTCCTTCCAAGTTTATTATTTAAACTATATGTATTTAGTAAAGTATCATTTGTTACTCTTATGGTCAATACTAATATTGTACAGTTTTTTTTTTTTGTAGCTGAATGGTGGATCAATTATGGTGACGAAGCTCCCCATCTGCAAAAAATTGCAGTCAAAGTTTTAAGCCAAACATGTTCATCATCAGGGTGTGAAAGAAATTGGAGTACATGGTCGCTAATCCATACAAAACTTCGCAACCGATTGGCAATGAAAAAGCTACATAAGCTAGTTTTTGTGCACTACAATATGCGGTTGCGAGTTAAAAATTTGACATATCAGCGTGAAAATGATGATTTTTATAATCCAATTGATTTGAACTGTATTTTTAATGATGATGATATATTAGATGAGTGGATAAGAGAAGGGGAGGAATCAATTTTACCACCTGATAATTTAGGTTGGCTGGATGAAGGTATTCGTGACATTGAAGAAGGTGGAAGTGGACGAGATGTAGTTGATGAAGGTGACACTAATACGGCACCAACATCTAGCAATTATGCCACTACCAGAAGATCTGAAAAAGATACGAGGCCAACTAATAAGGGTAAAAAGGCTATGAGAATTTTTGTTAGTTCTAGTGATTCTTCTTCTGATGATGATAATGATAATAATGTTGCTGATACTTATGGTGGTGGTGGTGGTGATAGTAGTAGTACTGATGATGATGATGCTAGTAATCATGGTGGAGATAAAGATGAGAGCAACAAGAGTGATGGTGGAGGGACTACTGGAGATGGTAGTGATACTCAGGTACCTAGCGGTATGTCATGGGCACAGGGGCAAGACAATTATTATGCCACACAGGATACAGACCATGGATATAGACTAGGGGCAATGAAACAACGGAGGAATTTAAACTCTTCCATTGGTGATGATTATTCCCATAGACGCTACCATCATTCACTTGGTCGACAAGATATTGACGATCATATGCAGAATTTGGGATTGACATCATATGAAGGATTCATGTCTTACGGACATCATCAAAGTAGTGGTATAGAATTTAGCTATGCACATAGATCATATGGATATGATATCCCTTCGCAGCTTCCAAGGTCTACTAGTACTAATAGTGCTAGGCATTATGGCCATCACCCTACGCATCTTAAGAGATCTACTAGTACTAGTACTGGTGGTTACTATGATCGTGTTCCAAGGAGACATCNCCTGAACTATATTTTTAATGATGAGGATATATTAGATGAGTGGATAATAGAAGGGGAGGAATCAATTTTACCACCTGATAACTTAGGTTGGCTGGATGAAGGTATTCGTGACATTGAAGAAGGTGGAAGTGGACGAGATGTAGTTGATGAAGGTGACACTAATACGGCACCAACATCTAGCAATTATGCCACTACCAGAAGATCTGAAAAAGATACGAGGCCAACTAATAAGGGTAAAAAGGCTATGAGAATTTTTGTTAGTTCTAGTGATTCTTCTTCTGATGATGATAATGATAATAATGTTGCTGATACTTATGGTGGTGGTGGTGGTGATAGTAGTAGTACTGATGATGATGATGCTAGTAATCATGGTGGAGATAAAGATGAGAGCAACAAGAGTGATGGTGGAGGGACTACTGGAGATGGTAGTGATACTCAGCTACCTGGCGGTATGTCATGGGCACAGGGGCAAGACAATTACTATGCCACACAGGATACAGACCATGGATATAGACCAGGGGCAATGAAACAACGGAGGAATTTAAACTCTTCCATTGGTGATGATTATTCCCATAGACGCTACCATCATTCACTTGGTCGACAAGATATTGATGATCATATGCAGAATTTGGGATTGACATCATATGAAGGATTCATGTCTTACGGACATCATCAAAGTAGTGGTATAGAATTTAGCTATGCACATAGATCATATGGATATGATATCCCTTCGCAGCTTCCAAGGTCTACTAGTACTAATAGTGCTAGGCATTATGGCCATCACCCTACGCATCTTAAGAGATCTACTAGTACTAGTACTGGTGGTTACTATGATCGTGTTCCAAGGAGACATCATGATGGATCTTCTAACACGACATCGGATAGTGTCAACTTTTATAGATATGATCAGTCTTCTGCTAGTAGTGGCCGTGAATATCGTGGTTTTGGGTATTATCAGTATGGGAACCAGCCAGTACAACCTCCACAGTCACACTACTCTGATTATGGGTCATCTAGTCAATCAACTCAACCAACCCAATCAGACCTGTATTCACACTTGTACTCTAATTCTCATGGTGGACAGTACCCTAATTTGTATTATTCTAGAGACAATGACAACGATTATGAGCCTCATCGTCGTTCAATGTGGCAATGATTACGGCTCAATATGTTCCTAAATGTCTACATTGAACATTGATAATGATAATTATTTTCGCTTGCGATTTTATGTTTCATTTTAATTATGTTTAATGTGTTTTTAGATGTATTGTGGATATATGATGCATAAATGATAATGTCTATTTTTTTAGAATTTTTTAGAATTTTTTAAAATTTTTTTGGAGCTTCTATCTTGCGTTTTGAGCGTATCGGCCGATACCGCGCCGCGATGCCGAGACCGATGTGTATCAGTACCCTCCGAGTTAATGACCGATACCGCGACTTTGAACCATGGTCCTATGCTGGCTCCGCCAGTGATTGGAGGGAGTCTTCCAATTGAATGAGTTATCTGGCTTGGTGTAGAATAGCTGCTCTGATTTAGCTTCTGTTTTGTTTTTCTTCCTGTTCCATAACTTAGTTTGCTGTGTAGACCTTGCTCTAACCTTATCTATATTTGTTTTAGGGTGCCACAANTGTGATCAAGTTGTTTCTGCAGTCTCTTGTCCTGAACTAAGTCTCAGGACAGCAAGTGCTAAAACAATCTGTTAATGGGGACTGTGGTTCGCTTGATCTTTTTGTAGACATGGGCAATGTTGCATTTGAAAATAATTGAACTATAAAGTAATCGAGTTTCCATATGAAATACGCAATGCTTATTTTATGTCTGTCGCCTTTTCAGCCTCATGCTTGATTCAGTTCAGTGCACTTTTCTTNAAGATGTTGTAGCAACTGGCGTGAAGTGCTTTCTTTTGAAATGGGTGACAGGTTAGTTCTGATTGCTTTCTATTTAGGGATTCATCTAATAGTGGTTCTTCTAAAGGTAGTCGATAGACGACTATAATGCGTATATTTCCTTGAGTGCTTTGTCATGGAAGTTTTGTCTAATGTTTCTCCATGTTCTATTTTATTAGAGGCACAACTGAAGGCCATTAAAGAAAAGTCAAAAGACCCGGAGGCTGCAGAACCTGAACCTGAACCAACAACTGAAGTTCTTTTCCTTTGTAGTTATCAAGGCTGTGGGAAGACTTTTATTGATGCTGGAGCTTTGAGGAAACATTCTCACATCCATGGAGAGAAACAATATGTTTGCAATTATGACAATTGTGTAAAGGTAATATGCATTAAGTGTTTGTATATTGTTTGCTTTGTTACTTACAGGGATTANTTTTATTGATGCTGGAGCTTTGAGGAAACATTCTCACATCCATGGAGAGAAACAATATGTTTGTAATTATGACAATTGTGGAAAGGTAATATGCATTAAGTGTTTGTATATTGTTTGCTTTGTTACTTACAGGGATTACATGTGACTGGTCCAATCTACACCATGCTTTGTAATTATTTTGCTTGGACTACCATTCACCTACTTCCTAAGAAGTGGCTGATAAGACCATCTGTTTGTGTTTGTCAAAGAGTTTAACATCTAGTGCCTGTCAATATGCAATTTTCTGCTACTTTACTTCCAACTATTGTTTAATTATTCTCCTCCACTTCCTCCCTTTCTCTCCTCTATAACTCATGATTACATGTCTTGTCTAATCAGACAACCTGNTCTCCTCCACTTCCTCCCTTTCTCTCCTCTATAACTCATGATTACATGTCTTGTCTAATCAGACAACCTGCTTGGTATTTTGAAAAATCAAAACAAAATTCAGTATAAATTACTAGAAATCTATATTCCTATGATTTTGCAGTCAAAACATGCATGTTTTCAAGTTTTGAGGAAGGTGTGAATGGAAAAAGAAATTCACTCGCCTATTTCCGTTATTGTTTTGTAACTTCTATTGCGCACTGTGTCCAGTACTCCATTGCCATAATCATATTTGAATTTTGTGAGGTTATGTTCAAGTTTCAGTTGTTGGAATTATTCTTCTCATATGCGTTTGTTCCTTCTTCAGTCAACATGCTGTATTATGTTGTGGACTTGTGCTAGGGTCTGTGTTTTTGCACGTACATTTCGAGGTTGAACGTGAAGAGAGGATGTTTGAGTTTGTCCCACATTGGTGTTTTAAGAAGTCATATGGTTTTATCTGGAAGCTTTAACAAAGTGCACTGCTACAATAGCATGCAAGGTATTACCTGTACCATAGGATTCATCCTCTTGCTTTTCCTTTATGTTTAGATTTGACCAATTAGGCTGCCTGAGGTTTGTCAAGAATCTATACCGAAGAACATGCACCTTAAAATGTGAAATTGTGGGTTATATCAGCTGGGAAACCTAGGGAAAATTGGATGTGAAATGTCCAGTTATATCATGAGATGTTATTAAAAAAGAAACTAAGTTCCTACATTGACTTCATGTGATCAAGTTGTTTCTGCAGTCTCTTGTCCTGAACTAAGTCTCAGGACAGCAAGTGCTAAAACAATCTGTTAATGGGGACTGTGGTTCGCTTGATCTTTTTGTAGACATGGGCAATGTTGCATTTGAAAATAATTGAACTATAAAGTAATCGAGTTTCCATATGAAATACGCAATGCTTATTTTATGTCTGTCGCCTTTTCAGCCTCATGCTTGATTCAGTTCAGTGCACTTTTCTTCCATCTTAACAAGCAGTATTAAACTAATTGAGGCTTTCTGTTGCAGAAATTTTTGGATAGTTCGAAGCTAAAGAGGCACTATCTTATTCATACAGGAGAGAGAGATTATGTCTGCCCTCATGAAGGATGTGGTAAGGTGATCACTTTTCTGCTCTGAAGAAGTCTATCACCATTATTTTCATTCCTGGCTAGATTTCTTTTTTCATTCATTAATGTCTAATGTTGATTTTGGTTGTCATGCTTGTGTGAGCCTTTTTTCCTTAGATCTCTTTATTTACTGTAATTACAGTGTATAGGTTCTTCTATTTCATATAAAGGTGGTGTTCTTCCTTGTTTATGTGGGTGAGATTCTTCACATCTATCAGATAAATTTGGTCCTATATGTACTTAGAACACTGAGGGGAAAATTTGAACAACATATACTGCAAATGGACTGAGGTAAGTGCTTCATAGCATACAATGCTAAGCCTTTCACCTCCTTCAAAAGTTCTTTTCTATGTTTTGTTACTATTTTTCCAAGAATATGTATCCCAAGGGAAACTCCAGTTTATAGCACCTTGCTGGTCTCCTAACTGTGAATGGCAACGTGATTTTAGCAGGATATTTAATTCGGTTTTTTATTTTTGCAACAATAATATAATCTTGCAAACAGTGATTTATATATGTAGACACCCATTAGTGTCAAACTTCCGTTGGAAATTTCATGTCTTCTCTGTCATGGCGTACCTCATTTGTCAGGCAACTCATGATGCCTGAAGATTCTGTTTTTTGCTTCGAATTTCCTGTAGTTTTCAACATCCAACATGGAAAATGCAGGCATTCTCTCTGGATTTCAACCTAAGGTCACATATGAACACACATTCACAAGAGAACTATCATATNGGATCAATTTGGAAACAAGCTTCAAAGCTCATTCATGTGTTAAACGAACTGAGCTTCGTTCATGTGTTAAACGAGTCGAGTCGAACTTGATCTTGGAATCGAGGCTTAATTCGGTTTATACTTGAAAATAAATTCGACATGAATTCGTTTAATCAGAGAGTTTGATGCTCAAACGTTCGGTTCATTTGCAGCATCTATTCTCGCGTGCAAGGAGTTACCGCTTTGTAGAAACAGTGGCTCTTATGCTGTTAATTTTTAAAAGCATGTGGTGTTAATCAAAACGGCATCCTTTTGCAATAAAATAATGTTGTTTTATTTTAAAAAAATCCCATCAATATTGATCAAGAGCCTCCTTATCATCCACCCCGTTGAAGCCTGTTTCGTAAGATGGTATATTTTCATTCCTTGATTTTTCAAGCAAATATTGAAGAAATTATTAAACTGGGGCCCCAGAACTATTGTTGTTATTTGATGAATTGCCCCAGATTACTGGCTAATTGTATTCTTCTTCTCTTAATTGCTTCCCTCAAACTATTCATCAGTTTCTGGCAGAGAGACAGAGAGAGAGAAGAGGGGGGGGGGGGGGGGGGGT